TCTCTCTCTCTCTCTCTCTCTCTCTCTCTCTCTCTCTCTCTCTCTCTTTTTGCTAATGACTGTATGATGGTTTGTAAAGTTGATTTGCTATCTATTTATAATAAAAATGATATCATTCAAACATGAATGTGCTTCCTCAAGTCTCTGGGAATCCCTCTTTGATGGCTGCCCTTAGAGGAAAGGGAGATAGGAGAGAAATTCCTCAGGATTTCTCAGAACAGGCAAATGGCCATTTTTCAGTTTATAGACATTTGGCCTAGTAACTAAAGGGCGGCCAGGTTGCATTTGCATTTCTACCCTGAGAAGGTTTCTCCTAAAGCCTACAGACAGTGTCTTCAAATCGACCCCTTTTTCAGGCTCACTAGAATTGCCCAAGTCCCTCTTGGAAGGGAGGGGAGCCCTAAGTGAAGATCTCACCAGTCCCCTTCCCCCATCCCCCACCCTGCCACGGGTTAATAGCACTTCCCACACAGGAAGGCCCAGGTGAGCAGATTTAGCAATACAGAAATCTCTCATGGGGGTCTCCACAAAGCAGAACCAGGATGATTCTCTTGACTGATCACAGACCATTTAAAGAATGGCTTTTTTCTGGCACCCACGGTATTCGACTCCATCATATTTTCCTCTCAAGGCACCCCCATGCTAGATCTTAGAACCACAAACTTGCAAGACCCTGAAGGAACCTTAGAAGGACTTTTATCTGAACCCACACTGAAGCATCCCTAGATACTCTCTAACACCCCCAACAATCAGCTAGCCAGCCTCTGCGATTCTTGCACCTGTAATATGCCTCCCAAGGATTTCTACCCATTAATCTGACTTTTGTTAGTCAGGATTGTCTCATTGATTGCCTTTGAATGCCCAGCACCTAACACAGTGTCTGACACATGGGAGCCACTTAATAAACATTTGTTGATTGACTGATGGATAGATTTCTTTCTTCAAAGCTGTTCTCCATGGCAGATAATCATTCAGAGAGCTTTGCTGATACTTCTGTTAATAAAGAAGTCGTTTTATGCCCAATACTCTTTGGCCCAAGAATCCAACTTCCAGGCATATACCCCAAGGAGGCCAAAGATAGGAGGAAAGGCCCCATAAACACAATATATTCCGAGCAGAACTTTTTGTGTTAGCAAAGAACTGGAAACAATGAAGGTAGTCCCCATTAGCTGGGGAATGGCTCGGAACCTAGACAGCCTAGAGCAGAGGTGTCACACTCAAAGCCAGGGTCTTGAGAGTGGCAGGAAGCAGATTAAACTGCAATTGGAAAGTGTTCAACAAAAT